AGTCGGTTTCAAGTCGACTAAAGTGAACACGAAAATATCAACTCGGTTAAAAGTCGACTCGAGTGAACACGAAAAAATCAACTCGGTTAAAAGTCGACTCGAGTGAATACGAAAAAAATGAGTTCACTCGAGCTGACTTAAAACCGATTGAAATTTTAGTGAAGTGAAGTGAAGTGAAACGACTTCACTTCACCAACTTCGACCTCTGGTTTAAAGTACTATGGGTCCTCGATTTAAGGACCGATTTGCGGTATTTCTTTTTTTTAATTTAATCGCTGTAATAATTTTTATTTTTTTATCTTAATATTTTATACATTTAATAGGGTTATAATAATATTTACTAAAAGGATCATTGTAGTTTGTGACAGAAACTCACCAATAAAGTTATAATAGATATTCCAAAAGCAAATTTTATCTTTCAATAATTTATCATGCATCCTTAACCAATCGGCTGGCAAAATGTAAAACAGAATCACAATAAAGCATATAAAGTTCAGTTCTAATACTTGAAATTTGTGTTAAACGGCTTTTTTCTACCAAAATAAACTTTATTAATTCATAAAATTATTAAAAAATACTGAAGCAAAATAGAATGAGCAAAGATGTGGAATGAAAGAATGATATATTAAATATTCGCAAGTATATAAATAAGGTAGAAGAACAAAAGTATTTTGAAACTTAATTGAACTTCTATGTAAATGTTTTAAAGAGAGAACTGAGATAAATATCTAGAGTCACGCGTCGAGTGTCATCGTTTTTTTTTATTACAAACTTATATTACAAATGTAATAACTAGCAGCGGCTAGCAGCGAACTGTTAAAGTTACTTTAAAAATGTCAAAGGTGTTGTTTCTGAAACAAGATAACAGTCTTCTATAACTCTATTACTTCTTCTTAAAGACTTCTGTAACAAATTTACGTAAAACCGGCATTACATAATTTATTTCTAAAACAGACACGCAGAGAAAAGAATCTTATGTTAATTAAAAAATAAATCATTGCTTTAAAATATCCATGAATATTAAGTTAAAATGGAATAGAAATGAATAATTATCAAAAAGCGTGAAAATGTCCTGATCTTTAAATTTCGATCATACAATAGAACAATTTTTATTTAATGTACAGAAGCGTTTCACTTATTGTGTAACGATTTAAGGGTAAAAAACGAGATTTTGTCACAATTTATAAAAAAATTGTAACAAAGAAGAAAGTTAAAAAATTTAAAAGTTTTTTGCGTTATGCGACAAATGAGTCTAAGTATAAAGAATACTTTTAATAATTCTTGAGGTAGTTTAATTTTTGTATTATTGTAAAATAGACACTTTTTGCGGTTTGAAATATAAAGTTTTCACTTAATTTGAAATTACTTTTTTAATTTGCAGTTCTATTTGAAGAATCTATCAAAATTTGGATACTAATGATAATCCTATAAACTGCTTTAAACAAGATTTGACGCAATTTTAAAAAAGTCTTCAAAATTATTATTATATTTTGATGTGACAAACGTTTCAAAGGTTTAATACTCAATATTAAGAAACATATACAATAAACTTAATACTTTTTTTTTGGTCCTTTAAAAATGAATTTTTGTCTACTTAATTTTTTTATTATACATAATTACATTTGAAAAAATTTTAATAACAAATCTTCTCTTTTCCTCCTCTTATGACCTCGATATCGATATTGCTCTTACGAGAATATTTCTACTGCACCTTAAACTAAGACGATGAAAAAGTTTGGAAATAGAAAAATTTTATTATTTAAAAAAAAATTATAAAAAGCTAAGATATAACCCAATGCTAGCAAACAGAAATTTTTGAGTTCTTATTATTCGAACTTCGAATTTTTAAGGTTCTTATTTGTCGAAAATCGAATTTTCGAAGTTCTTTTTTTTAAAAAAATTCGTTGTGAATTATTATTTTTCAAGTAATTTGTAATTTTAGTTAACATTCCTACTAGTTTTTATGATTAAGATAATCACTGTGATGAAATTGCATTCCTTAAATGTTTATGCTTTAAAGAACAGCTAGTTTAAAAAAAATAAAAAGTAACGGACTTTCTTATTTTGAAATTTTAAAAAAATACCGCACGAAAATTTTGAAATTTTTTTGTTTGTAACGGACTCTGTTCTCTTTGCTAACATTGGGATATAACGAAGAACAAAATGTATAACAATACCCAAGCACTGATATATATTTTTAAGAATGTATAGAAAAAAGGTCAATGATAAAATAAAGTTACCGAATCTTTGTCTCATTTTCTATCACTCTCTCATGTAACTTTTATGTCGTTTTTAAGCTTTATTATTTTGAAAACGTGGACTGAGATTTTTCATGATGGAGGATGTAATGAACATTTGTGACATTGACATTAGATGAATTATGTCATGTCAAATTATATTGCTTTCCAATAATGCCTATAACATCACTTCTTATACCTTTAAGATTTTTTATCTCACTCAATTTTCTCTTTTTTTTTTGAAGAAACTCGTGAACGATGAAATCCCCTGAGAATTCCTTTCGTTTAAGAAGGAAATTTCTAAAAGCCCATAATTTTCCAATCTGTTAAATTTTCGACATCATTGTGGGTTTCTATTGAAAAAATTGAGTCTCTTATTGTGATGGAATTTAAGATTTTTTAAACGTATTCTCTTTAATTTTTTGTTTTTCACAGGGGTCGTTTGTAAATTTTATATCAAGACTTGACAAATTACTAAATTAATCACTCGGGTTTATTTAATTTTAAAAATTTAAGAAGCTTGGTTTAACAATCAAAATATTATATTATGGCAAGTTTCATTAATGTGTTACATAACTTGTTCATTTATCCATCTCTGTAACACCAGCGTTGAACGATCCCATATTGAAAATGTAAAAGGAATATTCTATGATATTGTTTTCTTTTCTTTTTTTGTCATCATTTCTGTCATACACTATGATCCTATTCTTTTCTGTCACTTAATTTGGGTACTCATGAATTTTTCTTTTTCAATTTATTCGATAAATAAGCAAAAGCATGGTTCATTGAAAGGTTTTCATTTAAAGCATTTTGCCTGCGAAAAAAAAAATCATTTTATATTTATAGGATCCTTTTTATAAACTAACAACAAAAGACAGAGCACAACAAAGAAGTTGATTTACAAATATCATTTAGATTCAAGAAGAAATAAAAGTAAATTTGCAACTTTTTCTAATTTTTTTCTTGAACATTTTTGATGCTTTTAAATTTTGATGTAAATGTTGCTTGAAAAGGCATGATTTTCATACTCTCCTACCTCATCTGTTATTAAATTGCTATGAAAAATTTCTTTAGCGATCAAGTTTTCCCATTAATCACTGAATAAGTAAAACTTTATGCATGTGTAATTTTCAATTTGAAAGAAAAAATGTGTCAGCTGGGGGGAAATAAACAAACGAAAAGGTCAATTTGGGTGGATGACCAAAAGCATGAATGCTATAAATGCAAATTAGAAAACAATTTCCAACCAAATGAAAAAAGGAAAGTGATGGCATAAAAAATTAAATGTATTTCCACTAAACTCAACAAATTTGCTTTTAGAAGTTTTAATTTGGGACCAAATGATATTTGCTCTGCCTTTATTTTTAATATAAATGTTTAATGATATTATCAAATTAAGTTAAGTGTAAATAATTCAAAGTTCGTTTCCTATCATTTTGAAACGCAAACTTTCTATAATTATAAAAATGTAAAAAATCGTAAGAAAATTAAATTATATAAATATCCGAAATATGCACAGATATTTTATAAAACATCTTTGATTGTTTATATAAAAAAATAAACTATTGAAATGTTCAGTAAGCTTGATTGAAAACATTCGAGAAATTTTATGATTATCTTAATCAATTTAAAAGACGAATTTCATTTTATTTCTCCACCTTTATTGTTTAAAGAGATTTAAAGGTATTTGATGTAAATAATGACAATGATCTGTCTTGATTTTTCAAAAAATTTATTTGCTTTTCAAAATCGAAAACAAATCTAATTCAGTTATTGTTTTCATAACAAAAAGAAGAAAATCAATTTAATGCGTTGGTGATGAAATCAATTGATTTTTACTGAGTTCGTCTGAATAAAAATACCTCGAATCCAAAGTTTATTTTCTAGCGCATTTTCTGTCACGGAATGTTCTCGTCTTAGAAATGCTTCAGAAATTTGTCTTTGTGTCAAAATGTAGGTAGTAACGATTGGTTGCTCAAAAATAAAAATCATTGGATATGATCTTTTCTTTTAATGTCAATCACAAAAAAATCTGATTTACTTCTCAAAGAAGTTCGAATACTCCACATTTGAAGCATGTAGATATCTTACAAAATTCCAAAAAAATATATATTGCGTTCCCGTCGATGTGTTGGTTCAAATCTCATTCGTGACAGTTCTTTTTAGTTTTCTCTTCTGAAAAATCAAATTCATTTTGTAATCACTTTGATCTAAGCTGAGAAGATGCACTTTCGGTAATGGTTTAAGCCCGTTTGAGCTATTTCTCGCAAATTTTTCCGAAAATTTTTATTTAAAGCATTTTTCAAAAATAAATTTCAATGCTTAATAACTTTAAATTGTTGATGATAAAAACCAAATTTAAAAACCATTTTTCAAAAATAAATTTCACTTTACTTTTGCTAAAGAAATTTCATTCGTCGATAATTTACGTATTGATTAATTTTCAAATCTATTGTCAATATATTATTGCAATATCCTTTTTCATGCAGCGTTTGTTTTTGACATTGAAATTCTTTTACTTGTTATTATTTATCGTCATTTTTATCGGTTTTTCTTTATTTCAGCAAACTTAAATAGTTTTATCTAGTGGTTAAACATTTATTATTATCAGTTTAAAAATATATTAATTACACACAAAACTTTATAATTTTCTTGACAATTTTTGATTTTTGCACTAATAAAAAAAAGAAGGTTTTGCTCATCTATTCGATTGAGAATTAAATCAAAGAATTTATTTATTTTTTCACTATTTTTCTTTTTCAGATTTTAATTGGCAATATGTCAATCAACCTAAGAAGTATTGAGGAAAAGCGTTCACACAAAAATAGAATATAAAAAGTTTAAGATATCAGTCACTAAATATGTTTGGTGAAGTTTGCAGTAATCACACACATTCCTTCTTATGGGGAAATGAAACAATACTGTTTGACCATGAACTTGAATGTACCGTTTCGAAAACTGTTTTCATACTATTCTCTTTCATCGGGATTGCTGGTCTTGTTGGAAATGCTCTCGTTGTTCTTGGTAAATGATACATTTAATCAGAGGTTTTTATGTTTTTAATTCTTTAAATCATTTTTAACTATTCAATGTTCTATTTTTTATTTCAAAAATAATAAACTTGATTGATAAAAAACAATAGTTGTTGCTGCCAACCCTATGATGCGATCGACTACTAACATTTTGATGTGAGTTAAAAAGTTTCTTCTTGAATCTCAATTATTTTATTCAATTTATTTTTTTCCTTTGTACTGTTTCCTTAAACACCAAATTAATTTATTAATGATGATAGAATAAACTTAGCAATTGCCGATCTGCTGTTTGTGATATTCTGTAAGTATTACTTGAAAACAGATCAGGATATTAATCGAAATTCGATTATCTTATATAAACTTTCTTGATATAATCTAAAATTAAGAGCTTTGATTGATTTTTTGATTTTATCTTAGGCGTTCCTTTCACTGGTTTTGATTATGTCCTTGCAAGCTGGTAATTAATTTATTTATTAATCTATTTTCACAAAACAGTCACAAGTGATTCTTGTGCAGATGAATAAATTTGTAAACAGTATGAATCATTTATTGTCTTTACATTGTTATCTTTCATTTTCTTATTTAATTTCATAAATGTTATTAAAAGGCCATTTGGAACTGTTTGGTGTTCTTTTGTAAGTATGAAGATTTGTACACTATTTTTTATTTCATGGGGCTTTATTTATACACTAAAAGGATAAAACTTTTTTACAGGCTTTTGATTAGCCTCATAAATTTCATAAAGTAAAACTATAATGCTTTTGGACAGAGGACCGAGAAAATAAGATTTTATGTTCACATTATGATTCATAGATTCCTGACCAAATGATCAATTTAATGTTCCAATATTATATGAAACCATAAATGTCTATTAAATGGTTTACCTCCAGTTTTATGACTAAATACTCAATAACCTAAAACTTTCTGATGATTACTTTCTTTGGTAATAATCATGTCTATCTAAATTCTGTTATCAATAAACGATCATAAATTTTTATATGACAATAGTCATAGATGTTTGTCATCACAATTAATGAACATATGATTCTTTAACTTATATATATAGGTACAGTATATGATTGTTGTCACGTGCCACGCAAGTGTCTACACCTTAGTTCTAATGTCATTAGACCGATTCCTGGCTGTTGTGCATCCAATTTCTAGCATTTCAATACGAACCCAACGGAATGCGTTGCTGTGAGTTACATATTCCAATATAACTCAGAATTAATTTTGTGTATTTTTGTCTATTACAGAGCCATTATAGTAACTTGGTTAATTGTCACAACAACTGCCTTTCCTGTCTTCATTTCGCATGGCGAAGTTGAATATCATAATCATCGGAACGAAATCAATACAGCGTGTTTATTTTTGACCGACGATGGAAACATAGCCATATTTCAGGTGAAAATTTATTATTTATTATTTTATGCTAGATAAACACAATATTTTATTTATCAAAAACTATATATATATAAATTTATGCTACGTGATGATGCACTAATTGTTTATTTCATTTTCATGTGTGCGATCTAGAAAACTGCATTTTAAAAAGGTTTTATGAACGTTTATATGAATTTCCATTGCAGATATCGTTCTTTCTCTCATCTTATGTAATACCGTTGACATTGATTTCAATTTTATACATTGGAATGCTCATAAGACTGTGGCATAGTGCTCCAGGGAGTAAAGTTAGTGCTGAATCAAGGCGTGGTAAAAAAAGAGTGACGCGTATGGTAGTTTTTGTCGTACTTGCTTTTGCAGTATGTTGGCTGCCTATACATGTAAGTTTTATATGCAAGTTATAAGGTTAATATTTTTTTTTTCAAAATAGTCAAATTTAATTTTTTATAAAAAAAAATTTTAATTTAATTTTATATTAAGCTACATAAACTGTTTTTTGTTAACAATATCCATTTTTTTTTAAAAAAATTATGATTTTAAATGTCATTGAAGTATAGCGCAACATAACTAATAAAAATCCAACAAATTTTAAATCCATACATTTTTTTCTCATATTTTATTGCAGATTGTCCTCGTTCTGAAATCTCTACAAATGTACGAAACATCACGTCTCGGAGTGTCTATACAGATTTTCAGTCATGTTCTTGCGTACACTAATAGTTTTATTAATCCAATTTTGTACAATTGCTTCTCAGAGAACTTTCGAAAAGCATTCAGAAAAGTGAGTGTACTTATTGCTTTCTTTCCATGCTATAAAGCAACGTTTTTTTGTTTACCATACATTACCTAATTTTCTGTTATTTGTATATAATTCTGTTGTTTATTTTCGACGAATTTTGTAAGTATTATTTTCATGTCATTGCCATGGGCACACATTGACAATGAAAAGGAAAATTACATTGTTCTATTACAATGTATCGTTGTTTTGTGTCACATTATTTACACACATTTGTCGCAGAAATGTTAGCAACTTTATATACTTCATCTCATTGTATGTCAAAACAAGTCTTTTTTATGGTTTAAGTTTGTTTAATTGTTTACAAAAAAATTAAAACGAAAAAATTAAACTTTAAAAATATAAAAAAAGATTTTTTCTTTTTAAAAAATAATTTTTTTGAAACCTTTAGTGATGTGATTTGGAAAGATCTATTTATCCTATAACTTCAAATATTTTTTAATGCCAAAAAGGGACATCCAAAGAAATCATTATTATGATCCGTACTTCTTAATAATTGAAGACATGAAAGTTAATATTTACCTTCTCTGCACAATTTGAAAAAGATAACCAAAAATGATTTAAAAACAAAGAGGATTGAAAAGTCTTCATGACATAGGATATGATAATTAATTTACCTTTATTCAACAACACCATATTATTACTCACATGCCTTTAATTTTTGCTATAAATGTGAAAATCCGAAATTTCATACTTTTTGTATAGGAAGGTAAATACTTAAATACGTTGTGAATATAAAAAATGAATTTCGCCATTTTGAAAATTATTTTGTCGGGGCTTATAACGTTTTACTCAAGCCATTTTCAAATTTGTGTTCTTTCAATGTTAAATGCAGTTGAATGGTGAAACGGGTTAATAAAATCGTTACGAAGCAGTTTATTAAAACACGACCTTTTATATTTTATGAAGCCTAAGCATTGCATATGTACTTGAAAAAGAATATACAGAACAAAGAACAAAATTCATCTTTATTGAATTTAGGATATTATTTTATTATTTTATGCAGAGATCGAAGCCGATTTTTTCGGCTTAACTCAATTTTTGATTTTTTTGATAGAAAAAAGCCATTTGACACCCATTTCAAGTATTTAAATTGAACTTTACATGCTTTACTATGATTCTGTGTAATATTTTGTCAGCATGTAGCTATAGTGAGTTCAGAATTTCAATTTAGCCGATTTTAAGCCGATCGGCTTAAATTTCGGCTTAACATTCTTTAACTTGAAATTCTGAGCTTCCTATAGCTACATGCTGACAAAATATTACACAAAATCATAGTAAAGCATGTAAAGTCCAATATAAATACTTGAAATGGGTGTCAAATGGCTTTTTTCTATCAAAAAAATCAAAAATTGAGTTAAGCCGAAAAAATCGGCTTCGATCTCTGATTTTATGTATCAAAAATTGTATAGGTCGCTGGTAAAATCGTTCTATTATAAGCATATTTTTAAGAAGCATTATTGTTCGAAAATAATATTTGATTAAAGTATAATTCATTTTTTTTGATGTTTAACAAATTAAATATTGAACTTAAAGTATATTAAAAGTGTTTATAAAGTTTTTTGAATATTTTATTAAAGTCAAATTAAGCTGAAGAAGATTTTTGGGTTCATCTTTGAATTAATCTTTTGAATATAAACTCTTAGAAATCATTTAACCAGAAGTACCCTCCAATAAAAATGTTATGAAACTTGCTCACTTGAAAGATCTTTTGAGAATAATTAAAATAATGTCTATTTTATTAAAAAGAGCTATAGAAATCATAAAAGAACTAGTGTTTCCACTAGAAACCCAATGCGGGTATATTCATACCGTATGGTCGAAAGTCTTGTAGATAGACCATGCTTTGCACAGCTTATATTTGAAATTCAAAGCTTGTATCTTATAATAATCTTACTATTCTTTGGTTTTTAAAATCGTAAGAAAGGAAGGATTTTTGAAGCATCGGCTGTTTCTACCTTGCCCAAAATACATAAAGTGCAGCACGTTTCAAATTAAAAAATTAAAAGGCTCCACGATATCTTGTTATTTAGATTTTCTTCCGATTAACTTGATTGCTAATCTGAAATCGTATTTTGCGATTTTCTTAGCAATGCTCCAATCAATTTGAATTCTTTTCTTTGCAAAAGATTTAAAATTTGAAGCAAAAGCATTTCTTGTTCGACTATTTTCAGCTATTTTGCTCCATTTTCTCATAAAGCTCGAAAAACTGATTTTTCAATCTGAACAAATCAAAATATAAATATGAAAAGAAAAATACAAAAACATAAAAATAGATGTTATGAACAAAATGATATTTAGCAATAACTTTTCTATAAAATAAAAAAGAAATAAAATTTTCATTAAAAATCATGTTCATGCAATATCAAAGAGAAGAAAAAAAAATCAAAATTAAACATTGTAGGTTTTTAATTTAAAATTTATTTTTATAAAGCCAGGTCAAGTTAATTTTCATTTAATTTGTTTTGGTTTTTATGGACTCAAAAAAAAAGAGTGGAAGTACCATGGTAAATAATTTTGTGATGGAAAAAAATGTAATTTTGAATTAATTATTTATTGTTTTGTTCATATAACCTTTTCTTATTTTTTTCTGATCGGACACAATAAAATAGGTTTTAATAAAACTCATTTCAAAATGTATACCAATAACCTTCATTAAGGATGAGCAAAAAATTTTTGGGGTATAAAAAAGGTATTAAATATTGCCTGCACAAAAAGTTCTAACATTTCTCGAAATAATGTATATGATTTACTTCAAAAACAATCACGGCGATGAATATTTTTCCCACAAGGTTCGCCACTGCTCAGCAACAAAAAAAAATCAGACCTTCTATTTTGTTTCCTTTTTGTTAAAGACCTGTTGCTTGCATGCTTTAAAAATTCTATAAGCTTGTTATGGAATTTAAAGCAGGTTCTTTTCTACCTTTTTATTTCACATATTTTGCTGTATTCATGTTCATGGTGAACAAAAATCATAAAAAAATTCATTAAATCACTTATTGCAGTAAATTTTTTATTTGTACTCTGTTTCTTTGTTTTTCTTTCTTCTCACTTGCTAACAATTCATTTTTTTATAATAATTTATAAATTGCTCTCCTGCATTTATGAAGATAGTCTGGTGCGGAAAGCCAATTCCTTTGGGAACTACAGGTGCTCAAATCACGAAAGCCGGAACAACAAGAACAACTACAGGTTGAGTCAATATTTTAATTTTTAAAATGAGTAAAAAATTTCAATTTTTCGTCAAAAAGATTCTTTAATATAGTCCAAAAGAGAATTTTTTTAAAACTTGTTTAACAAATTTTAAAATCCATTGAATAATTTTATTATTTTATTTTTACAGCCGCACAAAATGGGGGAATTTCACCCCCCGCCGAATTCCTCTAAGATAACGGAAGAAATTTCAACTGTATAGAATTTACTTTTAAATAATATTTAAATATAAAATCTCTTTAATTTTTTAAAAAACTGAATGACTGTGATAAGATCCACTTTACAGTCATAATTGTGAGATATAACAAGGGAAATTCTCCACTTTATTTAAAATTTTATGTAAATATATTATTAACAATGTAGGATCCTACCCTACTATTGCGCATCATGAGACATCGAATTTCATATCTGTACATAAAAAAATTCACAAAAAGGAAAAATAATGGTAGTCAATAGCCTAATTAATTAGTTAATAAAAAAGCCTGTAACAGAAGAGGCGTAAAAATGTAAAAGGTTTTTAAAATGAGTAATTAGTCTTTTTAAAGCATTAATAAATTATTATGAATAAAAAGACGCTTACAAATTTTTTTATTCTGCTTATATTCTTAACTAATGTATAGTGACAGAGCAATGTTAATCAATCAAATAGGAATTATAGGTATTCAACTAAATTTTATATGACATAAAGTAGAAATAGAATAAGGTTGAAAAAACGAAGAAAATATTTAATTACTTTTATAGTTCAATAAAACATAATCGAAAAAATAAATTTATGTGATGTTGTATTTTTTCTGTGTTTAGAAAACAATTATGGGGTAAATTTAAGACGATAATAAAATAGAAAATTAAACGAAAAACTTAAATAGACAATTGATGTATTTTTTTTTACAAAATCTTCTACATTTTAGAAATTTTATAAGAAAAATAACAACCAACAATTTAAAATTTAATTAATCTTATTTTATTATTCTAAAATGCAAGTAAACTATTTAATTTGCCATTTATTAACTCGAAATAAGCAAATCGCTTAATGCAATATATAAAATCTTGAAAACAAATTCAAACCTCAAATCAATTATGCCTTACAAATAAATTTTCATTAAGAGCACAGCACTTATGTTTAAATTTTTTATGATAACCTTTCCTTGCCAAATAAGATTTAAAGAATATCATTTTGAATACCAAGTTTAATGTTTTTCACAAATCATACTTTTTGAATAATTGATAATGTTGATTTTTCATCAACATATTAATTCAACCAATTTGAATTAAATTTGTGTAAACAGGGGAAAATCACTCTATGGATAAAAAAGTTTTACTTAAAGTTTTGCTGATATTTTATATGGAAGTGAAAAAAAATATGTGATAAAATGTAGCAAAATTATGCTTTAATATTTTTTGCATTAAGCTTCCCCCTTGTGTGAAAATAATTTATCCAGTCAACTTAATTTTTTGTATTAAAAATATAAAATAAAAATGAGAACTGAAATTATTTTTGAATTTTATGTTTTTAACCATTGTTAAACAATGTTTTTAAACGCAATAAACAAAAATTGTTGGTTTACTGAATTGAATGTGGAGCACATAAACTTCACTATAACAAAAATTATCTTTGTGAAATTGTTATAAAAAAATTTGGCAAACGCATAAGATGATTCTTTAGAAAGAAAATTTTATACGTAAATTTAAATGAATTTTTTTATGGTACCTGAATCCTTCAGGCTAAATTATTGTCACGGTTTTGTCATTCTTCAACATGAACCCAGAATAAGAAAGTGAAAAATTGTAAAAAGAATAAAATTCAATTTTTTCATAACGAAAGATTATGATGAATAATATTAAAACTTACATTGAATAAAAATTTGTGAAGCTTATCAAGACTTTTTGTAGAGCCCATCAAAAAGTATTGAAAAGTTAGAATCAAAAATAAATAAGGTTAAAAGAGAATAATTTTTTTACCAGAATCTACTATTTCACCAGTTCAAAAAGATAAATATGCATAGACAAAATCATTTTAAAAAATCTTATAAATAATAAAATCTAAAATATTTTTCATAATCTGAAAATGAAATTTTCCAATAATTTTTTTATTTCAGATTTATTATTCAATTTTTATTATCCATTTAATTCCAGAAATTATTTCGACAAGAAAACTACCAGAAGATAAATTTTCAAGTAAATTGGTTCCTTTATTTTATCTTCCAATTGAACAGCATTAGTATTTTGCAGGTATTTCCTAGTATTCATAAGAAAAACAAGAATGCCATTACTCAACTAAATCCTCAAAAAATGGTTCCTAATCTCGACATAAATATAAACTGTGGATATGCTCAAACTGTTCTTGTTTTTTATTAAATCCAGGTAGGAATTATGGACATCTTTTCGCAACTCCATTTGATACGTTATGTCTGATAAAATTAAAAAAATCATCCGAAAGAAAAAAATCTTTCATCCTGTTTTATCTGAAAACAAAAATTTCCATGATTTCAGATTACTGAAAACTACGAAAACTATTAATTGCAAAAGGAATTAGATTTTTGGTTTTAGAACTTTTCATTCATCAAATTAACTTTTATTATAAAAATATCTTTTTTAAGACCTCTTAAGATCCGTATGAATTTTTACAATACATTGAACATTTTTATGTAAAAGTTAAAAAATATTAGATATAAAAAGAATTTCTGATTAAAAGTTTTCGACAAAATTATAAAATAAACATATAATTGAATTTATTTCAAAGCTAGAAAATCGGATAAAAAACCTTTCGTAAATAGCTTACGAAAATTCTAATCTTTTTTGTTAAGGATTTAGCAGAGATCGAAGCCGATTTTTTCGGCTTAACTCAATTTTTGATTATTTTGATAGAAAAAAGCCATTTAACACCCATTTTAAGTATTTAAATTGAACTTTACATGCTTTACTATGATTCTGTGAAATATTTTTTCAGCATGTAGCTATAGTAAGCTCTGAATTTCAATTTAGCCGATTTTAAGCCGATCGGCTTAACATTCTTTAACTTGAAATTCTGAGCTCACTATAGCTACATGCTGAAAAAATATTTCACAGAATCATAGTAAAGCATGTAAAGTTCAATTTAAATATTTAAAATGGGTGTTAAATGGCTTTTTTCTATCAAAAAAATCAAAAATTGAGTTAAGCCGAAAAAATCGGCTTCGATCTCTGGGATATAGGAAACGCACAATTCATAAAACGTATGCAATAAGACGGATTGGAGTTTATACTACTGATTGACACGATTATTTCTAGAGATAGGGGCGTAGCCAGGGTTTTAAAAGTGTTTATAATATTTTTTTATTGAATTTTATATTCATTGTTTTCATGAAATTAATTAGACAAAGTTTTTTCATTTCATTGTCATAATTTTTTTTTGAAGTTTAAACATTGAAAATGGACCTTTCAAATTTGTATTACATTTCAATCAAGAGAACCGAACCATAGAACGACATCCCTGGATAGGACACTGTGCAGAAAAGTGGCAAAATAAACAATTTTCGGGATAAACGCCTCTATCTGTGAAAATACGCAAGAAATTAAATTTATTTTAAAAAGCAAAAAAAGAACAAAAGTTTTTTTTTTAAAATCTTTATCTTTAAAAAGAAATTGTGAGGTTGATGTTCTGATAACACTTAAAAAGTCATTTTTCTATGGTCCAAATGAAAAGATTTAAAATTAAAACTTTATTTTTTGATCAAAAATATTTTGCTAAAATATTTAAGCATTAAGAATTTTTTCAACTGCATTTCACTCGTGACACACCTACTTCCCGTTAACACAAAAAAACTTACTGATAAGATAACAATATTTCTTTATGTATTTCAATAAACATACTGGTATGAGTATTAAAATAAGCAAATAAAAGATATAAAGTAACGCATTAAGAGGTATAAAGTAGGTAAGAGCGAAAGAAAAATATTAAAATTTAGTTCTGTATTTCACTTTTCAAACGATCACAAGCTAATTGTAATTTTGTTTTCATAATAATTTTTCTTCAAGCCAAGAACCAGTGTCTTTTTGAAAATTCATAACAGGGAGATTATAAGAACATCAAAATAAAAAAAAAATAAGACACGAGCATAAACATCAAAAGAATGAAAAAAGTTTGGATTAATTTTGTTGGCATTTTAACCTGTTGGGAATATGTAAGGCATTGAAAGAATGTTTTGTATTTTGCTTATATTTAATTAAATTACTACAATTTCATATTATACTACTACGGAGTGGTTTTATGAGTTACAAAAAAAAAAGAGATTTTATGTATGCAAGCATTTTTGGATTCATTGAATTGCTAATCCAAAATTTCTTTTTGAACATGTCCATTTTTTTAAACATTTCTTATGTTTTTAGGTATGCGCTAATTTAAAAGATGATTTTTACATCGCAGCTGTTGTTGAATTTCCTTTACCTACAACGCCTAATTCGATTGTCACAAATGCCAACGATATGATAGAAGATACGCTAAATGAATACTTGAGATTGATTGATGAAGCCGCAGAGAATAAAGCGGATATACTAACATTTCCAGAAGGCTGTCTTAATTATGTTGGAATAGGGACACGTAAACTCTTGATTAAATACGCAGTGGAATTAAACAATGATGACATTTATAATAGTACTACCTTTAGTAATAATTGTGATTATTCAAAAAAGTCAGCGGTGAGTTTTTATGAATATAGGATAAAACAAAACCATATTTTTAATTGAGGATTTTCAAGGACTTTATTATTTTTTGGCACCTTCTTAATTGTTGTTGTCATTAAAGTCGACGATAACGTTGGCATTTGCCTATAATAAACACATTCGGACTCAAAGTAGGGAATATAAATAAATGAGTCAAATGAAATGAATGAATTGAAAACATGAAGAAAAGGTTAAATAATGTTTCTGAACCTTCCATTTTCTACCTTTACAAAGATTATTTCTAAAGTATCACTTAAGTCGCGGAAAAACGGGATTTATGTTCTGATAAATGTAATTGAGAGGGTAAAATCTACAACTGTGACGAAAAATAAATACAATTTATACAGCACCAATATTGTATTCGATCGTAATGGATGTATTGTATCTAGGTAAGAGTTCCTAGAGATTTGTTTTTGCAGTGACATTGAATATTTAACCTCAGTGTAAACGATTCCTTTTATTGATTTTCTTTAAATGATTCAAGGTATCGTAAATTTAACACGAAACTTGATCCACTCTTGAACAAAACAGAAATCGCAGAAGTTCAAGTATTTCATACTGGTATGTGATTGTATTTTGATGAGCAGCAGAAACCAAACACTACATTACAAATTTTTTTTTTCAGATTTTGGTGTAACTTTTGGACAATTCACATCACTCGATTTAATGTCTAAATATCCTGCATACATGTGAGTTCAAATCATTCTTTAAATATTTTTGTTTATTTTTACTTAAAAATATCTCATCGATATGTATTTGAGTAGTAAGTTAATGCTGGTCGGATGAATTAATTTAACATTAACTTTCTTTTAGAAAGATTAAAGCTCATTGAATTTTAACAAATTTTAAACAATGAAGTGCTCTTAGTGTATTTAAAAAAAAAATATTGGGTTGTTTTAATTTTTTTTTTGACTCCAGGGATGACTCAATACTTGCTGCATTGATCAGGCATAAAACAAAACAAATGAATTTTTTAAACTTGATTTCAATTCAATTATTTTTTAAAACAAATTGAAAGCAAATTTCATAAAATTTTTATTCCTTTTAAAATTTAAATTGATCTGTCAAATTTAAATTTAATCTTCGCATCGTAATCACGTGTAAATTTATTGTTTTTAAATAATATAATAATTATCAAACTTCAACAGGTTTATATAATCGATTTCTTATGTTATTGTAGTTTAATTCAATATGGTATAAAGCATATCTTGCATCCAACATTATGGTACTCATCTACACCTTTTTACACATCACTTCAAATGCAACAGAGCTATAGTTATTCAAACAATATTGTTTTATTAGCAGCTGGATCAAATAATCTTGCAAGTGGTCAAGGTGGAAGTGGTATTTTTGTTGGCAGAAACGGACCTCTTATCATGTTTCAACCAGGTGAAAAGATAAAGTAAGATTTGCTTGTTAAGGTCTTGCATACAATTTTTGATAATGTTTTTGGCTGATTTTTTTTCCACATTCTTACTCATCCTGCATCAATGTAATTTTATTACATAGACAAGCGATAATATCAAAAGTTCCTAAAGATCATGACATGTATTCAATTCAAGTTGACAACAATAATGTTGTTAAGAGATATAATCTAAAGGAAATGGACCAATTTTTTATATCTATGGTACCATTGCAATATACAGAAGCCTTGGTTAATCAGGAATTCCGAAAGGTATGCAGGAACAAATTGTGTTGTGAAATATTCGTAAAATATACAATATATGACATTCCATCGTCTAAATTTGGTTATACGTATCGATTCACTGCTCATTCGGGTGTAAAAGAAGATTATAAGGATGAAGTGTATGATGATGAGAAACTGAGTTTCCATGAAATGCACTGCTCTATTGTTGCGTGTACAAAAGCTACTACAGAAAATTGCGGATCAAGATTTTTCCCTTCTGATAATGTCGTTCCTTCTGTTAAGTTTAGTGAAATTCGAATAAACATGATAATTGAATTAGATGACGTGGGAGCAGAAGATTTGGAAGTCATGCCGACAAATGTTGACTTTCGTCTATTACCTTTACGGGTCGATATGTTTACCTACTCAGAAAGTGAAATCTTCAATGAAAATAAGTGAGCGTTTTTTTTATATTTTTATGTTGCTCCTTGTGTTTTCTATGAAGATATGAATAATCTATTTTATTTTATTTTGGATTTTTAGCAAACAATATAGAAAATACACAACGACGTTAGCTTCAGATACTGATACAATTTTAACCTTTGGAGTATTGGGGCGAGCTTTTCGTTTGACTGAGTTTTACATGACTGACGACAATTCTGAACAAGCTCAATTTTGGTGGTACTTATTAAGCAGCATGACTTTTGGGTTAGTCTTTATGTTTATTATCTGGAGATTATGCAAAATTAAGTAAATGATATGTAACAACATTAGTGTTGCCAATATTATTATTAAGGAATATTATTAATTGTTTGTTCTCAAATAATAATGTAATTTTCGATGGATACTCCATGTTTACACACTAAAGATTGTATATAAGACAATAAATATAAGACAATTATTAATCTTTATACTGGGTAGACTCTTACTCTCTATCTTTTTGTATTGTATTTTCATATTCACACAAATTTTCAATTTTTGTGAATATATTTTTGAATTCAATTTTATCTAAATATAGGACATAGTTCTTAAAATTTATTAAAAGTAATCTGTTAATTATTTCATTCATTGAAAAAAATTATTAATTTTTAAGATCAACAGTTCAATAAAGAGTAACAATTATATATTTTAAGTTCTCAGCATAAAAATTATTAATTTTCCATAATTTTTCGTTTTTCAGATATACCCGATATACCCAAAGGATGTCACAAAATTAGTACTAAATTCTACTTTGTATCCGTTTTCAATCTTTAATGAATTGAAAAGTTGCGTAATGCCCAATTCGTTTTAGAAAAATTACATGAAATTGCTTTTACCTAATGGATCCGAAAGTCTTTAACTATAATAATAAATTGTCTTCGAAGAAAAATATAGAATTCATGTAAAAAGTAAATTATTGGAGTGAACAGCAATTATAATATATCTTGAAAAATTCGATTACAAATTCAAATATACCAGATATGCGCAATATAGTTGGAAGCAAGAATGGTACACGGAATTGAAATATATGACTCATTTATATTTTTATTTCTTTTCGGTCTTTTCTATATTCTCAAACTTTCTCACTTTATTTTCAATGTTTTGTTGCTTAATATATAGTGACAATGACACTTTCAATTATTTCCCTTTTCCTTTTCTTCGAGTTTTATCCTGCATATGTACACAAACTTATTTATTTATTTGACTTTCATTTGATAGATCACTGAAACGCAATGTATTACATTAATTTTATAGTGCACAATATACATAATTAGATAAGTGCTGGCTTTTTCTAGTGACTTGCACGCCATACATCTTTATGCATTATTCAAATGTGAAATTGATTGATTTTTATTGTTGGTTTATTGCAATAAATTTACAATTTGTAAGTTATGCAATAAAAAAATATTATAAACATTTCAAACAGGTTTGAACAAAATGAAAAATTATTGAACAAAGCAAGAAAATTATTTTTATATTTTTTTCTACTTTTAACATGTTATATAAAAGCACTGTCATGTTGCTTTCAAAATTTATAGTATTTAATGGACTATGAAAAGCAATTTCATTCTTTGCGAGCAAAGGCATAAAGAAGAAAATGAGAAAAAACATTTTTTTAGAAAGAGAGTTTGAATGTAAACCATTTAATACGGTGATAACATTTGAACATCTTCCAACGTTTTGTGGTGACTTTTGCGAAAATTTCTAATCTACCATAAAATTTTACGCACACATTTATATACTTTGGTGTAAAAATGACTGTTTTTAATCATTGAGAGAGTAAAAAAAATTTTCCAGGCTCTCTTCTTAGGAAGAAACTCTCTTCACTGATGAAAATGCAGTCATCAAATTGAATGAGTGCTTTCGGGTCTTGTTTTGTCTGATGAGTCTATCAAAAAATATTCTTAAAAAAAAAAGGATTATGTATATACTTCAGTATTCATTCATACCTCGATGCATCAAGACGGAAAAGCAAAATAATAATTTTAAGGCAGACAGATTAATTTAAAAATTATAATAAAGTGCTCATACTGTAATAGTTGGATTTGTTTCACTTAGTGTATGTAAAAAGTCACAACAAAAGGATTAATAAATAAAAAGTGAATGTAATTTCAATTAATAATTTATTGTGTTTGTAAAATGTTGAATGAAATAACGAAGCCGAGAAAGTTTTTTTTTACATAAAAATGCAATGCAAAATTAAACAAAAAATGAAACTTGATAATTATTTAAGTAACTTTTCTAAAGTGAGAATGATAATAAAAGAAAATAATAATAAATATTTTTTAAAGTGTGGAATTAAATTATTTTTAAAATTTCTCAATTTGATTCCATGTGACTATAAGCAATTCATAAGAATATATTATACGCCCCGAGTAGCACCAACAACAACAACTGGTTTTACGTCGACGTCAAGGCACCATCAAGTAGAAAAAAGCACGTCACGCCGCAAATTTACCGTTGTGGCAACGCTAAGGCATCTACACGCACGATTTCGCCCCATTTGAACAATAAAATAATGGGGCGAAATCGTGCGTGTAGATGCCTTAGCGTTGCCACAACGGTAAATTTGCGGCGTGACGTGCTTTTTTCTACTTGATGGTGCCTTGACGTTGACGTAAAACCAGTTGTTGTTGTTGGTGCTACTCGGGCGCAATTAATGTGCATCAGATTTTGATTTAATTTTAATTTAATAAAATATGAAAACAGATGTAAAATTAACTCATTTTAATAGAAGGTCGTGTGTTTTATTAAAGATCTTGCCTATATTAAAGAAATCTGTACAATCTTTTGTTCCCAAATAAACATTATTACGACCTTATTTCCTAAATCGTTTCATTTAATAAAGATCGCATTAATACGATGATGTGCAATAAAAATAAGCAAGAAAAGTTGGTGAAATAAAATAATTGCTGAAATCGTAAATTGCTCTGACTCATAAAAAAAATAGTATTAAATTTTCTGACAATACAAATGAATTGTTTATTTTTCCTTTTTTGCATTCTTAATTTGTTTACCATTTACGATCTAAAAATTCTGTGAACTCAACCTACACTGAACCTACGCAGAACTCAAATGTAAGAGGAAGTTAAGGAGTAAAAAGAATGTTCATAATTAAATACGGTTTTTATACATAAGCATAAGCATAATTGAGTAGGGATTTCTCAATCTGACGATATTGGGAAATAAATCATAAAAATAATTATATATCCTTTAAACCCCTTTAAAGATCGAGTCTATGTAAACATAATTTATTGGTCAAGGACATTTTGAATACTTTAGTTTATAAAATTAAGAATTCCAGTAACTAAACGTTTAATTTAAATTATCCTGCTAATGAACGAAGAGACAATAAATTTAATGTCCTAGAACATTATGTGTTGATGGCTCTTGAAAAGTCATCATTTCCTCTTTACAAAGATGTAATAGACAGGGAGCAGGAACGTGATTAGCATATATAAAATATTCCCATAGAATGTACAAGAGTCCCATTAATGCTACATTGCGTTTTTCAGCATCACAGGCATGAGTGGCAATTAAATTGGTCTTGAAAACTGTTCTATGTGATAAAAGAACGAAGGCAGATGAAAATGCAATAAATAAGTTGGATTTTAATAAACTAAGATGCTGCAAGAGTTTTTGCAAAGGCATTTCGTGAAGTAAAATTTAAAATTGAACAAGTAAAAAGATCGTCAGTAGGATCTGTGCGCCTTCAGCGTATATTCCTCGTATAGATTTGTAAAAAGTCATAGCTCAAAACAAACATTTTATTCATTTATATAATTGAAATTGAAATCGGTCGTTATGAAACTGTAAAGAGAAACTGTATTACGGAGTTTTCAGATTCAAACTCATAACGGCTTTTTAAAATTTAAAATCTAAAGTTTTGGTACGGAATTATGAAATATAAAGTGGATTCGGTTTGCCTACAACAGCTATTGAATACAAAAAATCCAAAGTCTATTTGTGTTTTCATTGCCGAGATCTCAGTGTACCAGCCTGCCAGCCAAAGTGAATATAAAAGCGTATTATTCCAATAGGAAAATACGAAAAAAAATATCTAGAAATTTCATGAGTGACAGAAAATGCATGGAATCGAGTGAAATATATCCTATTAAAACGCTTCAGGACGTTATACAATATATCTTAGAAGATAAAAGCTTTAAAAAAAAGAAAAATAAATTGTCCTGACAATATCATATTTTAAAATGAAATCGATTTTTGAAGACAGATCTTCCTATTTCCCATTTCTTTCTCTAAGCCGCTTTAAACAACTGAAAATATTTATATCAAAATTACCATCGTTTCCTTATTCTTATATTTTGAAGATATTTTCATACCCACATTATGATAATTGATTTAGTGTTATTTTTTTTAAATTTGTCATATAAGACAAAGGTTTATGATCTTTTGTCTTCCTTTTTACTTTTTTATGAGCATATTAACGAATCATGGTATAAAATAAAATGAATATAAAGTGAAAATGATATCAAAATAATTGAATGACATTACTTTAGATCTCCATTGGCATGAATATAAGATGCATGCTTCAGCAAAATAGAAAAAGATTTGATTTTTTTTTTGCTTTTCGACGAAAAAAATATCTCACTTACTTTTTTGATGAGGGTCTCAAGTATCTTATCACTATGACACAATTTAAGGATATCAAACACGAATACATATTTTTACTGAGTGATTCGTCATTTTTCGTCTTCTGTGAATTTTTCGAAGTTGCTCAAAATTGTTTGTATTAGTTTAGCAGGTGTTCTAAATGCAAATGGTGTGCCACACTTTAAGAAGATGATATTCTGCTACCTGTTGATTTTGTAATTTCATGATTATTCAAAGTTTTGGAGATCTGCCTATTATTCTGAAAATAAAGTTAAAACATTAAAATTATTGTAGTTATTTATGGCTTGATATAAAGTACCGACAGCATTTATTTCCATGATGATAATTTAGTGTAAACAATTCAATTACCAGAGGTTTACGCTTTAGTGAAATTGTTTGAAAATTCAATTTATAAAGTGTTATCATCAAGTTTGTGCTTCAAATTAAATTTTCAGAGTCAAGAACCATTTAACCAATTTGAGGAGATAACACAAAATTTCTTTTAATACAGACTTACTTAATTGTAATGATTGTCGAAATAGCTAATGATTCTTACATTCGATATTCTTCGAATATCTTGAAAGGGGCCGTTCACTTATTACATTACGCAAAAACACGACTTTTTTCACCCCCCCCCCCCTCCCCTCTATGTTACATTATATTACAATTTTTCAAACCCCCCCTTCCCCCTAAAATGCGAACCTAACAAGTGAACGGCCCCAAATGCTTTATAAATTTTAAATTTCACATATTCTCGATCAAAAAAATTATTTTCTTTTTATCTTTTTAATCTCATTTTTCTTCGATTGCAAATTCTCGTGACTTTCAATCAATGTTTTTATTGATTCACAACGAGACGTGAAAACGTACATTGAATGGTCTTCATTATTTCATATTATCAAAATAGCACTTTGTAAATCTTCATAATTCTAATAAATATGTATCGTGCAAAACGAGTCTTGAATTAGCTGTTTTTAAAAACTGAACTATTTAATTTTTGTGTAGTTTTTACATGAATACGAACTTTTCTATAAATTTAAGAAAATAATATTTAAAAACTTTGAACTCACCCTAAAAAAATCGGAAACCATTTTAAATCATTCCATATTTTTTTTCCAAAATGATCAAAAAGAAATATGAAACCAAAGCACTATGGGCCAGAAATGGAAAATTTTTCCAAAAATTATTTCTACAGCTTATATGATAGTTCTTATTATGCCCTACATTTACGTCCTTAAAACTTTGCTCAAGTCGACAGCATGTCCGAGATATGGCACTTCAAAGTTGGTCAGACGACCATTTTCACGTTACATTGAAAATGCTCTCACCAGATACTGGATAGATGAATCTCCTTCAAATTTTTTTTGTTAATAGCTTTAAATAGTTACTTTGTTTTAAGATATAAACAATTGCAAATAACTTTGAAAAATTTTGTGAAAAACTAGATTTTTCTCAAAAACCACGTGTTCGTCATACTTTTGTTTGTGTAGGTCTTCACAAGCACAACCAAAGTTACTAATTTCTTTTTTATATTAAAGATTACATCAAAAGCTATAACTTTTGCATACATGTCGTATAATTTTAACAAAGTTTTGATAGTGAAAAAAAAATTTTTTATAAAAAAAACAACAATTTTTTGACAAAAATCGCTGTAGTGCTTCAGGGATACCCATGGTAGTGGAATTTTATTTCACATTTAGAAAGCTCTCTAGATATGCTATCAATTAATGCAATAAAATGAACAAGTGTTCTCTTGGCAAAGAGCACTTTTTTGACTCTGAAAGTCGTATGTCGAGCAAGGTCAAAAAAGAAAAATAATCATAAAAATTTCAGTTTTAAATAAAATTTAATTTTTTTAATTTAGATTGATAGATCTTTTTAAAACGCGTCTTTTGAGTATAAATATGTTATAGTTTTGTCAAGTTTCGTGATCATTTTTTTAAAAAAATAGTTTTTTTCAAAAAAAAAATTGAAAAATAAAGTATTTGACTTTAGAATTTTATAAAATGCATCTTTTTGTCATTTTTTTCACTACTTTGTCTAGTTTTGCTCCTAGTTTTTTTCCTAAACATAAATCAATAAGAACTTAGCATAATTGAAGCCATTTGGAGGTTAAATTGAGTTAAAAATCGTTTAAAATTTTTGTATTTCTCAAATAGTTCTTTACACAAGTATCTAAGATATAAAGTGTTGCATAGTTTTGAAAAGGTATTGAAATTTCCAATATGTTAACATGAAAAGTTTAGGAAAATTTTCAAGTAATATAGTCAATTTGGGTAAAAAACGCATTTTATATATGCTAGTTTTTAATGTTTTTCGTTTTTCTCAGCAAAGACTTTATGAAAAACTCTCAAAGTTTGCACTTTTATTTGTTATATAAATGTTAATGACTCGTAAAAGTTTTGGAATTTTCCATTGAGTTTTTCATTAGTTCTCCTAATCTGAAATTTTCACTATTAAATTTTCGTTTTTCTCAACAATTGCGATTTTTTATTTATAAATAAATATCTTATTTTGTTTCATTTTTCAATATCTTTTCATTGATATGTAACAATCTACAAAAAAATTAAGACTAAAGAGAAATGAATAAAAAAGTGTCAAAAATGTATGAAAATTCTACGCTATTTTAATTTTTTAAGCCTTTTATGGTTAATTTTACTAAGTTTTATAAGAGTGTTATACCTTTTTTTGCAAATGTATAGCGAGACAAAAGACAGTTCCATATGAAGAAAACCAGATATTAGTTTTAATGCTATTTAAGCTATAATATTAAGCTTTTTCATTTACTTTTGTTATAAATGTTTCATGTAATTAATAGCAGCCTGAAGATATAATTTAAAGCTTTTAAATAATTTAATTTTAATAAATTCAAAATTTTTGGTTGTCGCCAACTTGAAGCTTATTTGACTTCAGTTGTGCTTAGCGTAGACTCATACGAATTTTGGTGGATGAACGTCTTAAGCTATACATTTGCAAAAAAAGGTATAACACTCTTATAAAACTTAGTAAAATTAACCATAAAAGGCTTAAAAAATTAAAATAGCGTAGAATTTTCATACATTTTTGACACTTTTTTATTCATTTCTCTTTAGTCTTAATTTTTTTGTAGATTGTTACATATCAATGAAAAGATATTGAAAAATGAAACAAAATAAGATATTTATTTATAAATAAAAAATCGCAATTGTTGAGAAAAACGAAAATTTAATAGTGAAAATTTCAGATTAGGAGAACTAATGAAAAACTCAATGGAAAATTCCAAAACTTTTACGAGTCATTAACATTTATATAACAAATAAAAGTGCAAACTTTGAGAGTTTTTCATAAAGTCTTTGCTGAGAAAAACGAAAAACATTAAAAACTAGCATATATAAAATGCGTTTTTTACCCAAATTGACTATATTACTTGAAAATTTTCCTAAACTTTTCATGTTAACATATTGGAAATTTCAATACCTTTTCAAAACTATGCAACACTTTATATCTTAGATACTTGTGTAAAGAACTATTTGAGAAATACAAAAATTTTAAACGATTTTTAACTCAATTTAACCTCCAAATGGCTTCAATTATGCTAAGTTCTTATTGATTTATGTTTAGGAAAAAAACTAGGAGCAAAACTAGACAAAGTAGTGAAAAAAATGACAAAAAGATGCATTTTATAAAATTCTAAAGTCAAATACTTTATTTTTCAATTTTTTTTTTGAAAAAAACTATTTTTTTAAAAAAATGATCACGAAACTTGACAAAACTATAACATATTTATACTCAAAAGACGCGTTTTAAAAAGATCTATCAATCTAAATTAAAAAAATTAAATTTTATTTAAAACTGAAATTTTTATGATTATTTTTCTTTTTTGACCTTGCTCGACATACGACTTTCAGAGTCAAAAAAGTGCTCTTTGCCAAGAGAACACTTGTTCATTTTATTGCATTAATTGATAGCATATCTAGAGAGCTTTCTAAATGTGAAATAAAATTCCACTACCATGGGTATCCCTGAAGCACTACAGCGATTTTTGTCAAAAAATTGTTGTTTTTTTTATAAAAAATTTTTTTTTCACTATCAAAACTTTGTTAAAATTATACGACATGTATGCAAAAGTTATAGCTTTTGATGTAATCTTTAATATAAAAAAGAAATTAGTAACTTTGGTTGTGCTTGTGAAGACCTACACAAACGAAAGTATGACGAACACGTGGTTTTTGAGAAAAATCTAGTTTTTCACAAAATTTTTCAAAGTTATTTGCAATTGTTTATATCTTAAAACAAAGTAACTATTTAAAGCTATTAACAAAAAAAATTTGAAGGAGATTCATCTATCCAGTATCTGGTGAGAGCATTTTCAATGTAACGTGAAAATGGTCGTCTGACCAACTTTGAAGTGCCATATCTCGGACATGCTGTCGACTTGAGCAAAGTTTTAAGGACGTAAATGTAGGGCATAATAAGAACTATCATATAAGCTGTAGAAATAATTTTTGGAAAAATTTTCCATTTCTGGCCCATAGTGCAAAGTCACATAGAAGATAATAAGACGTGTGTTGACGGAAATTGAAACTGAGATTGTGATTTTTTCATCATCTTTTGTATGTGCTTCGCAAAGACAGAAACTATTTCAATGCATATTAAGCTTTTTGAACTGGAAGAATTTATTTTGTAATTTTCCACTTTAAGGTTCATATTTACCGTGAAACTTATTTTTTTACTATGATGCCACTTTGAAATGTCATCTCTTTTATGCATTTAATTTCTCAAATGTAGATATACATAGTGATTTATTTTATGATTACAAAATATATGACTTATGTATTTAGAACAAAATAAGTTTTGGATATCTCAAATACATGCAAAAATACATTTTTGCTTGTGGAAAGTTGTCAAAAGGTTAAATAAATATAAAAACTTCGTTATTGAGAATGGTAAACATTTGTTATATAAAAACACGAAAAAACATGCATTCATTGTTTACTAGTTTCACTTACACATACAAAATTATCATCCAAAAATTAAAAATGCATTTGTAGCTGTAACTGGAACTATCTTCTATTTAATATTTCAATAGCAATGATTGCTAATGGCCTTAACATAAAAGCTATAATATTCTTCTTTTATGTTCCTTAACAGGAGTAAATATTTCTTTCTTCATTGTGGGAATTTCATCACTGTCTCTAATCTCTTGCTTCTGAGATGAAAACTTAACGCAAATAAATGACCAAAAATTAGGACAAAGGAAAGAACGTTATCTTCTTTATTGAAAAAATGTATGAATAAAGATGGAACTAAGGCTATCAAAAAAGATGAACAAATAATAAAAGAAAGAAGGAAACGAAGAAAACGAAAGAGAATTTTATGGTGCAATTAACTAAGATAATAAATTCAATGAAAAGATGACTGAGCCTTATTTAAACATTTCAAATGCAACCAACTTAACTTACTTGGAGTGTTTCAACTGTTCAGATGGAAGTTCCTATATCGAAGATTTGGAACGGTCTATTTCAATATCCGTTTTCATACTTTTCGGAATTATTTTTATAGCCGGATTAATTGGTAATGGATTGGTGGTACTTGGTAAGCACAATTTTATTATGCATTCTCCTTTTGGGAGGCACGTATTACATTACTGTTACCTTATAAAGAGCGAGAAAACAAATTATGAATTATGGAGCATATTTTTCAAAAATAAATTTTTATCCTTGAAGGGAGATTGAGTTATAATGATTTTTCGATAATCCATTTGATGGATTAACCTTGAATGACGAAAAATAAGCGTATATCTTGGTAAATCTTTTGACATGTTATTGTAAATGAAATTTTTATTTCATTATTAATCAAAATCAGACCATTTTTTTGCTTTTAATAATTCATTTATGAGATTCATAGACAGGATGTACATATCAAAATTTTTCTCTACAAATCTATACAAAGATCTCTCCTTTCTATACTAAAAACTTCTTTATTCGTCAATTAAACATGTGGTCTTTAAATATAAATGTCCAATAAAAATTAGACATTTTGATCTGATGTACGAACATAACCTGACTATTATTTTATTTTTTTAATATGGGCGATACCAAAGATAAAATTTTTTAAAAATTTCTACTGTAAATCAAGATTTCTCTCATCAAGAGAACTTTACTTACTTACTTTCTTCGCTGGTCTTACAGATCAATTGTGATCCATGACCTCCCTTAGTCGTCTTCTTAAACCAGCACTATCGTTGGCAACCGTCTGACAATTGTTGTTTGGATTTGAAGACTTTCTTTGATGTATCGTCAACAGGTTTTCTAATAACGTGTCCAGCCCATTGGAGCCTGTCTACTTTGGTTCTTCTCACAATATCAGCATCTCTATATAGCTGATAAATTTCTGTATTGCTTCTGCATTTGTATAAGTACACTTCCTTCTTCAGGCCAAAGAATGATCTTAATATCTTCCGTTCAAAGACATCGATTGCGTTTTCATCCGCTAAAGTTAAGTTTCATGACTCTGCATCATACAGCGCTATAGGGCGTATTAGCGTCTAATACATCATCAGTTTGGCATTTCTGGAAATTCATTTCGACGTGAGTAGATGTTTAATAGAGAATTATGCACGTTGTGCTGCCAATATTCTCCGCTTTATCTCTATAGACGTATTGAAGTTGTTACTGATGATAGAACCCAAGTGGACTCCTTCAAATCTCTCATCACCAATAACAAGGTGTGAGCTGACAAGACCCTTTGTTCTCTCCGATGCAGACACCATCAGGAATTTTGTCTTATCCTCATTCACCTGAAGTCCAATCTAAATTTGTTAAGAATACGCTTTATTCAATAAAAAATTCGATATTCAACAAATCTGTAAAATCGCCCAAATATTCACTTGAATATTAACTTGAGCGTTACCGAATGATTATTTTACTTTTTATGAAACAACGAAGTCTACTGAACCTCAATCTAAAAAACCCTAAAATGCAGCTACCATAAAACTATGATGTTTGAGTAATTTTATAAAAAATTCTATCTTCTGAGATTTAAACTCTAAAAGGGACTAGATTCTCTTTCATCAAATATTAACAAAAATGTATGCCAAAAATACGCCGAAGTTCTTCGATCAATATCACGAGGACATTTGTAATATTTTTTTTCTTTTTCTTTCTTTATTCTTTAGTTGTTGCTGCTAATCCATTGATGCGATCTACAACAAATATATTAATAATAAATTTAGCGGCAGCTGACCTTTTTTTTGTGATATTTTGTGAGTGATTTTGAAACTCTAAAATGCAAAACAGCTTCAAGTTATATTTGCCATACATTTAAAAAATTTATGCTGAAATTCGGTATATGACTGTTTCTGCAAAGTTGAGAATTGATGAATAAAGCTTATAAATATTTATAATTAGTAATAAACTTTATAACAAAAATAACATAGCATAAGAGAAGTTTCATCATTATGGTTATGAGATTACGGGATTAAAACCCCAATTGATCATAGTTAAACAGTAGCTATGCTTATTATCAATGTTGTTAATATGCATTCAAATTATTAAATTATTTGATTATAATATAATGAAACTAGGCTACCCAGAGGCGCCCGTGTCGCCTCTTATCAGGGTTAAAATTTTATTACTATTATGTAAATAACAGTAAGATGCAAATAACCATAATGTTTTTAAGGTCAATCCTACCACAGAACTTTACATGGCTTCACAAACCCCTTCAAACTCGGACCCCCTTAATCCTACAAAAATTTTATAAATGGCTTCACAAAACTTCACATGGCTTCACAAACCCCCTCGAACTCGGACCAAGGGTGTGGTACTGATGAAATGATCAAAAATGATCAAAAAATTTATCAAAAATTGAAAATATCAAAATGTAATTCTTCAGTTCCACACCCTTGACTCGGACCCCTTTAATCCCACTAAAACTTTAATTTTCCCGAAACCTACTATGTCTTTTCAAAAAGCTTCGCATGGCTTCACAAAATTTCACTTCACAAAATTTTATATGGCTTCACAAAATATTCCTGACACCAAACTTTTCAGCAGTACACGGCTTCACAAACCCCCTCAAATTCGGACCCACCTTGCCCCCAAACTGACACCCACCTTGTCAGCACTCCTCAAATCATTGGATTCACAAAATATACCTGACACCCATCTTGTCCCCATCGCCCACCTGACACCCACCCCCCACCTGATACCCACCACCCACCTGACACTCAACTCACACCTGACACCCACACCCACCTGACAACCACCTTGTCAATACTCCTTAAACTTTTGTCTCCACACGGCTTCACAAATGTCTTCACATGGCTTACGTTCCAGAGCCAGTGAATCAGTGAATTGGGCTTTTATATATTAGATATGTTCAATTTAAATCTTTTCTTAACAAATATGAGTAATTTTTAATGTATGGTTTGAATATTTCCTTGATGCGTTAACAGCTTCATTATCAGTTTATTTATTGATTTGAAATATTATTGTATTCTTTTCCTAAGGTATTCCATTTACGGCAACGGATTATATTCTTAATTCTTGGCCTTTCGGTGATTTTTTGTGTTCATTTGTAAGTCAAATTAATAACCTAAACATACATAATATTTATTAATTATAAATTTGTTGTACATAAATGTTATAAAAAATCATAGGTTCAATATATGATAGCTGTTACGTGCCATGCAAGCGTTTATACACTTGTTTTCATGTCTGTTGATCGATACATAGCGATTGTTCATCCGATATCTGGCATATCGATACGTACTGAAAAAAATGCGACTCTGTAAGTTTCATACTTTTATTTATTCTACCATTCTATATCATTGCTTGTTGTTGTGCCTATAAAAACATATTATTTTTTTCAATAATGACACGCTTTTGACACTTGAAGAAAAAATTGTTTCCCTTCTTTATATACTCATCTTTGTGAGTGCTTTACACAGTATAAATTTAGGCGACGAACACTTTCTTTCACATATTGTATCTTTAAGCTATTTACGAAAATAAATGTATGTAAAATACCATAAAAAATGAAAATTTCATTATAGCTACAAGGTTTTCAACAAAATTATGATGACAATGACGACAATGATTATTTTGCAGACAAATATACGTTGATTTACAAAGAACGAGTTTATCATTGAAACGAATAACATAAATATGTCATTATTTTATATTTCTATTATGATTTTCTGAATTATTTTTATTATATTATCATGATCGTATTGCTACATACTTATTTCCAAAATATATTTCCTAAACAGCAATGAAAATTTCTTTTCAATTTTCGGAAATTTAATGTAAAGAGTTGTAAAATTAAAAAAATATTTATTTTATATGTTGATTAAACCATATGAGAATTCAAACTCAAAATTTATTCTTTTTTCTTGATTATTAATATTTCTTGCATCATATTTGTACACATTTCAGAAATTTTATTCCATTAATTTATAATGAATTTTGAAAATTCAATAAATAATAATATTTCCATTATTTCAATCAAATTTAAAATAAAGAAGAAACCTCATAACTGAACCTTTCATTTAATTTACATGCAAATTTTTTTTACTATCACTAATAAGATTTATTATTTTTTAAATCTGTACAGCATATATCAAAATTTGTAAGAATGCTAAAGAGTCAAAAGTTTTCAATATTTGTTCCTATTTGTCTTCCATTCTAGTGCAATAGGTGTCGCATGGTTGTTCATATGTTCATCGTGTATACCAGTTGGGCTTTCGCACGGTCTTGTTACTTATGGAGAAGAATATGAATATGTGGAAATCAAATGTATCTTTCTAACACAATACAACCATTCTGTTTTCCAAGTGAGTAAATTTACTAAAATAAAATAAGAAAAAAAAACAGATTTAAATGGAGCGGAAACGTTTCTGAACATGTTAGAACAACAACTTGGTGCTCATTAAAATTCAGATTTATAAATTTTGCAAACACTTCCAAGATAAAATTTTTGCATACTTTTCTCTATTCACTCCATTGTCAGTGTAATGTTAAACATGAAAATATTAGGAAATATATTTGGTAAAGCTAATCTAAAAATTATACGTGTTTAAATATAAAGGAAGTAAAAGATGAAATAGGATACATGAAATGTATTTTTAATATTTAAAGAAAAAGAAAGCCAACATTGAACGAGTATTTTCAATGCAAGAAATATAAAGAAACGTATTACAGTAATATGTGATATTATCTTAAGCTCCTTACTAAATAGGTTAACCAAAACTTTATAGAACAAGTTAGAAGACACATATGGACTTAATAGAAAATGTTAATCCCAATTAAAGTTTACTAAACTCTTAAGCAACTTAAACAAAATCGTTTATTGCAAATTCGTATATTCGATTACTTTAAGTGCAGTAATACAAAAAAATTTGTCATGAAATGTTAATTAACTTATTTTTTTCTCATTTAAAAGCACTAAACTTATATTCTGCAAACATTTAAGCATTACACAAATAAGTTTTGATACGAAGTAAAATATTATGATTTTGTAATCAGTTTGTAATTTAATATGAAATTCTATTTAAAATTTAGACTTAACGATTGATTTTTCCATGAACATTCCAAATAAAATTAAGTCCTATAGACGTCAGTTTTAATTAAATAGATTTTTTAAAGGAAACCTAGTTAATTGATTAACGTATTATTTAATTAAATTGATTATTGATTAGAACTGCATGCTTACTACAGGAGATCAATTTATTTAAAAACTTATCAACTCAATATGTCGATTGAGCTCCTGTATGTGATGACAAAGCAGTTCTTTAATTGTTAACAATTGAATTTGTCTGGGTGTTGTTAATTTAGCAATAATTGAATTAAATGAAACATTGAATATTTCTTTAATATATGAAGCTCTTTGGAGCTAGTTCAAGTTGCAAAAAATTAAGTTAATGCATAATACCACAATTATTTATAACTGTAACTAATAACTGATATAAACGCACGTTAAATTAACAAGTATCTTCATGTTCAAAGAACATGTCAGTAATAAAACCAAGTAGAATGGTTGATTATTTGGAAATTGATGTACAACTTGTTTATTGACCGATCCTTACAAATATTTTTATGATGACATTAAACATCTTTTTCTTTTTCGTCCTTTTATTTCCCTTCTAGATATCATTCTTTTTATCATCATACGTTGTTCCATTGACTTTAATATCAGTGCTATATGTATGTATGTTGGCAAGCTTATGGAAAGGTACCGGTACAAGAATTTCCGCTGAGTCAAGGTACGTAGAATGAAGTCATATAAAACAGAATTATTCATAATGGAAATTCGAAGGAAGGTCAAAAATGAACGCATGAAAGCCCTGTGGTGTTTACATCTCTATAGAAATGTCATTTTATAGAGCGTAGGAGACTTTCTAAACTTCCTTCGAATTTTTTTATACTTCCTTCTGCCTTATTTCTATGTGATAGCGATATCGTTTTTTTGGGGCGAACGTGCCTTTTAATTCTATGTGAGTAAAACGTACTTCAAGTTAATTAATTAATTCGAATTTTTTGGTTGTTGAAAACTCGTTTGTATAAACAAAGTAAATTTCCGTATTTCGAATTAGAGAGAATTTTATTGTCATAGAAATACAATTTGTTTTTATGTCCTTTGTTAATCTCCAACACAAATGCGTTAGGATATCGCCATCAAACCATGATATCTATATAACTGTATTATTGAGATATTGAATATGTTTAAGTCCTTTATTTTTTCGATAAATTGTTTTTAATAGAAGAGGGAAGAAGCGTGTGACAAGAATGATTGTTGCTGTTGTCCTGGCGTTTGCAATTTGCTGGCTTCCAATACACATCATTTTAGTGCTCAAATCTCTTGATGCCTATCATCAGACTACAATGCTTGTAGCATTTCAAATTATTTCCCATGTTCTCGCATACACCAACTCGTGCATAAATCCTATTTTGTATTGTTTTCTCTCAGAAAACTTTCGAAAAGCGTTTAGAAAGGTAGGGCGAAATAATAAGAATGACCTTTTTTGAACATTTTGTTAATTAGAATTGATGGTGCTTTAGCACTTTTTGGTATACAAACTTATTAAAATAAACCTCTTCTTTTTTGTTTTTTTTACCCATTAATGATTAAGGTCGTCAATTGTGGATCACAACACAATTTTCAAACGCAAGTCACAACTAAAATTGTTACAAGAAATGACGATGGACACAAAAATATATTATAAAGACAAAACGTGCATATAAAATTAGTAAATATCTGTTTATGGAATATGCTTACTAGAAGTTTATGTCTCAGAATTACGAATACTATTTGATATGATAAGAAAAATCAGAAAAATTAACTTTTTGAAAAATAAATTCAAAAGGAAAGCAATTTTTGGCAGATAAATATTAAGTTTGATAATAAAAAATTTTATCATTAAAATTTTTGCCTTTTTATAAATGAAAAAATGTAAATTTAAGTAGAGAGAATATCACAGTAAAGTGATATGTTTGTATCAAATATTTTGAACAAGTAATTTAAATTTTTTGTGATTTAAAATATCTTAATGAATAGTTGTAAACTATATTAATGTAAAATATTTTAAGTATTACAAATAGCTATATTTGTATGTTTAATAAGGTTAAATACATTAAAGTTCAAATCAGTTTAAATTTTTATCAGCCCCTTGTTTCTTTTTATTTAAAAACAATTTTCTTAAATCAATTTTCTTAAATCAATTTAAAAAATCACCTCACAAGAATTATTTTCACATTTTAAATGCTCAATAAAAATTATTGATTCCCAAAGAACAAGACGATTCTACAAATATTTTAAAGATGGTTCAAAGTTGATCCAATATTTACAGTACTTCTCACGCTTTTTTCTAAACTTTTTTTTTTTATTTTTCTTTGATTCGACGTAGATTATAAAATATTATTTACAATAAACTTGAAGTTTGAAATAAGGTGTAAGTTGTTTTTCTCAAAGTTTACATTAAAACAATTCAAATTTATTTTATTGATTTTAAAATATAAGAATTCCTATTGTTTATTGATAAATTTACGTTTGTATAGACTTTTAATTAATAATGAGAAAAAAGTTTTAATATTTTCAAATCCAGTCTTTAAAATAAAGACTGTTGAGTAAAGAACTTTTGCGAAAAGTTTCCCATTATTTTATTCAACCTGCATGAAATTTACTTTCATCAATTCAATTTAATTTCGTTTACACGATTATGTTTTATTAAGAAGCGATTAATAATTCAAAATATAATTTTCTTGATTATTCTAAGTTTTTGTTTTTACATCATAACCTGTATTGTTTCTACAAAATTTAATGGCTTTGCTAAAATTCATAAATTATAAAAAGTGGAAAAAGTTTTAAGCTATATTGAGTAAAAAATATATTAAAAGCTACATAAAATATCTTTACAATTTTTGTTGTTATATTAAATTCTTATTTAATTACTACTGAAAAGATTTACATATTTTTTATATTACATTAATTATATGGAAACCCTATAAACATTTTTTAAACTATTTAATATTAACCAATTTTCTATTCAAATTTTCCAGATAAATGTATCACTCCCTGTTTTGTATGATGGTAGAATAATAAAATTTCTTTTTCATTCTATGTCATAGCAAAGTATACAAGCTGACAACTCATGAAAGATCAAACTGAAACGTTGATGGTAGCTTAACTTAATAGAAAAACTTTTCTTTCCATTATGAAAAATTTAATCGTAAAAGAGCATATTCGAAATTCTAACTTTACTTTGTCGTGTAAGCGACAATGAATGATAGAGAAGACAAGAATAAGCGAAGCTATGAATGTAGAATAAGTAGAGTCGATAAACAGACAAGAGTAAAGAAATGTTTCTATGTTCTATACCTTAAAACAAAAGTAATGATATACAAAAAGTTTTTGACAAATTTGTCTAAACAAGATGACAGCATTGAGTTTAAACTTTTTGGAAAATGAAAAACATAAATTCATTATAGGCGGTTAATTTGTGAATGAAAATAGATTTTTAAGTGATTTCTGATCATCTCAAAATTTACCAGACAAATTAATGAAAACCGATAATAAAATAATTTTATCGACAGAAAATTTAAACAAGTACTAAAACGGCATAAATGTGTAAAATTAATACAATCTTTAAAAATATTTTCATTTTATTAATTTTTAATTTTATGAATAATAATTTTACTTTGTAAACATCAAAATTATCCTGATGATGAACACGAGCCCCCAAAAGAATAAAGTTGATGTTATCAAAATAAAATTAATCTGCTCAAGTTATTTTCATGCATTTAATTTCAATTATTTGAAAAACGAATTTTGGCAATGACTTTTATAATGAGCTTAGACTCATTTAAATGAACAAAAAATTGTAAAATATACATATAAAGGTTTTAGGTATCCCAAACTTATACATGGATTTTATGCAGATTTAAGTCATAATCTGCCTAAAAATTCTGCCACAAAAAAAAGAGAATTTATTTTAAAAAAAATTAAAACTACGAAAAAATAAATGTTAAAGTTTATTGTATAAAAAAACTGAATAAAGCTTTTATGATTAGTAACTTAACATAAGTTTGTTACATTTTAATTTTTTGTGAAGTTTTTTATTTAAAAAATTCATGATATAAATAACAATTGGCGGACTTCAAAAGGTAATTAATAACTGATTAAAAAGGTCTAGAGTATCGCTTTCTATCTTTACTTACAGCAATCTGTTATTTTTTAAAAAAAAATTATATTTAAACATCACATGCGTAACATATTCATGAGAAGTAAATATACATGCGTGTTAATATTCGTGCATATGGAAGAAAAATATTTGGGAAGTAAATATGTTATATATATTTTTTTCATTAGAAGGCAATATCTTTTCATATTTTTCCTGAATCATATGTCTAGTACTCACTGCTTCATAATATAAAACGCTCATAATTTTTTATTTAATTTTCTTCATGTTCTTCCAAATGCTTGCTTCATTCTGAGTAGGAGAGAAATGAGAAATGGAAATATTCAAAAAATTACTTTCAATCTTTATTACTTTTGCTAAAGGTTTCTTTCTTTGATAAAAGTGACAAACAATTATCATTTAAATGTCTTCTAGAATTCATTAATTCATATACAATTGATCTTGGTTCATGATGAATATTTGCCATAATCACTTATAACGGTTCCGTTTGAAATGTAGTTACCTTAAATGTATTGATAAAGAGATCAATTCGTAATTTACCAAAATCATCATATCGTCTTTAACTTAATTCCATATCTATTTTCGTGAAGTCTTGCTTTAATATGAATCACATGAATAAATTTGGTAAGATTCTGAGAATACCTAGCACTTTGCACTTTGATTTTACGCGATCGAATGCTGGTAAACTTATCTGCTGTAACTATTTTTCTTTCAAATCTTCCAAATGACCTGATGATCTCCTAGATGAATTAATTGAATCACGTTGGAATACTCACATGTCACAGTTCTGCGTTGTATGAGTTTTATTTGAACCTTTATTCTATTTTCTGCATGCTGTTTAAATTGTCCTGGTTCCTGTAACTCGATATATTACTTTCAATTTTTCGGTGCCTTTCCTATTAACTTCACTTTTCACCTTTTTAAATTTTTCTTTTTATTTTATATCATAACTGATTTATTAAACCTTTTAAACAAACAATATCACTTATATCACTTTTTGGCATTACATTATTATTATTATTATTTATTTTTCGGCGTTACCATCCCGAAGAATTCTTCTTCAAAATTCCATCTTTCAATTAGCATTTTATTGACAAATCAAAAAAAATAAATTTCGATGTGTTTCACAGTACATCACACTTGACTAAAAACATACATACATGTAAAAAAACGGAAATCCCACATTTTGTTTACGTCAAAATAAGTAATAAAATTGTGTTGTTTACAAATACACATAACACATTGGAATAAGAATAAATTTCTTGTGGGTGGATTATAACGCACGCTCAGGTGAATAAAAAAAATCTGGTTGAATCTTCAGAACATTTATTTAAGAACTTTGTCAGGCAGTACGTTCCAGAGTTTAAATTGGGCTTCAACGATTTCCAGTTCCCGCAATTAGCGGGACAGAAAGCAAATTTTTAAACTGAATTATCTCGATGAATAAAAATAATTATTCAAAAATTTTAATGTTTAATTATCTCATCATTAAACCCCAAAAAATCTTAAAATTGTCGAGGAACATGCTTGATATTTGAGTTTAAATTTTTGTCCTGTTCCCTATAATTTTGCAAGACCGGGAAATCGTGAATGCCTAGTTTAAATAAAGAGATAAATAAATAAGAAGGAAGAATTACAATAAAAATCAAAGGTCTGCGAATTTGTTAAAATTGAAAGAAAAAGTTTTTTGGTTAAAAATTTATTTTTTTATGTCACGCTACAATATTATTTACACATTGCTACAAATGAACCGAAATCATTAGAAAATTGTTCATTGATAAATCTACATTGGGTTTGTAAAATGTTCTATTTCATGTTAGAGTTTATAAATTATCAGGGTAGAATTTTTTCTTACTGCTATATATTTGTAACTGATTATTAGAATGCGCTAGCTTTTATAATATCTCTTTATTGAACTTAATTGAAATTTGTTTAATATTAGATATAAACCATGAAAAATCAAATATTTTCTAAATTTTAAAAAAAGTTTCAGGTGAAATATACAGAGTATAATTCAAAAAAATAAGCATCAAAAACATCTTCCCTGTCTTTATTGCTGTTAAGTGTTGTTTACATGACGTGACAAAGATACAGATAAAATATAAAAAAATGAAAATAAAAGGAAATCAAATTATGTAGCTGTGCTACAAAAATGAAGAGAATAAATTCTATTGAAATCAATTTTTTCTCCTTTAATTGTTTATGCGAGAATTTCATAATCTAATTTTGACTGCTTTTAAATTCTCGCTTTAGGTTTATTCTTCATTTAATTTTCACTTTGTAATTTATAAAACTGAGTGGTTTAAAAGCACATTTCACTATCATGCTAACAAATATTAATATTGTTTGAATATTCCATATCAACATTTGCGTTCATAAATCAATTTGTCAACCAAAATATACTTTACTCGAAGTTTTACAGCACTACCTTTATTTTCATGTCTCTTCGATTAAAATGACACAAAATAATATAAAAGAGATAAAAAATTTTAAGTCTTTTTTTTTTTTACAAAAAATGGCATTTTTAAAAGGAGCTAAATGATCTTAATCATATTGTTCAGTTTATTTTTTTTTTATATTTTCACTCGGTCTGATTCATAATGAGAAAGGAGATTAAATTAAACATTGGAAAATATGAGCATAAAATACAAAAATAAAATTTGAAGTGTTATTTTATTTTAAGG